TTTACCTTTACCTCTATAACCCCTCCAGGCTGAACCAGCATCCAACTACCTACCTATGTATAACAACAATAACAATATAATAACTCTATAGAAAAATAAACAATATTTAAATAATAGTCAAGAAAAGCTGATCTGTTGTTCAAAGTTAGCTTTCAATAAGGGCTCAGCGCATGCAGAAAGCAAAAGGTCTCCACAGGCAAAGAGCAATGTGTGTCCGAAGCACTCCCTTTTTATAACTCTGCTATCTAGGTATGCAGACATAGTCAAAACATTCAGACATAATGTCCTTGCACATAAAGCACTTTACCTTGGTTTCCCTCTGCAATACTCAGACAAAGAAGAGCCAGACAGACTCTGGCATCTTGTCCATGTAACCTAACGGTCAACATTACTGTACACGTAAGCCCACCTGTTGTAGGAGTATTGACAATCACTTAGCCAATGTCAAACATGTAAAGCATCTATCAGTAAGCATTACAATTTATTTATACATGATTTGATAAAATTTCCATCACAACTTTTTTTTTCAATTCAAACAAGCTTACTGAAATGAAATTTTATTCAAAAATCAAAAATTTGTGAAAATTCCCTGTTATACTGTTGTTTAATAATGACCTTATGCATTTTAATTAAAATATTGTTTAAACTAGTGAATGTTTTTCGACGTGACATGATACAGTCTAAGTTTACATTAGCTGTAAATTTGAAAAAGTAATGTAAATATTAGCCTTCTAAAGCATAAAGCAAGATCCATAAATTGGTAACTGGGAATAAGCCCAGCAGTGTCCAAAAGCCAGACTTCTTTGCCATCTGCAAATATTTAGGGGAAACAGTTGATTCACTTGGAGCTGATGCATCCAAGGTGTGTAGGCTACATGCAATAAGGTCAAGACAATAACATTAAAGGCTTTAGCATTCTTTGACAGCAGTAGAGAATTTCTGCACACCCCAGACTAACCCTTCAGTCATCAAACATCTAGCACTGCTGCACTCTCACCTTCGTCTTCCTCTCCACCTCCACTTCCTTTGGCTCTTGCTTCCTGTCAGCTCCTATCAGCCTCCCCTCTGTGATGCTCAGAGGGGAATTTAACAACTGCTTTTGGCTTACTATTCTCTCTTTCTCTTTCTCACACACACACACCAACACCCCCCACACCACCACACCCATACACACACACACAAAAGCACAAAGAAATTTTAAGACAAGTACTGTGAGACTTAAAGGAATATTTAAGTATTTTGAAAAATATATTTGCCTTCTTGCCAAGAGCGACTGTAGTTGAGAAGACCAGGACCACTCTCTTCCGGCTTGTTCAGAATGCTACAGCCAGCTGTTGGCTAACGGAGCTTAGGTTAAAGACTGGAAACAGAGGGAAACAACCTGGTACAAACACTGAAGTGTAAAACAGCAGTTCACTGTTTAAAGGGGTGTAAACATGTAAAAAAAAAAAAAATTAATTTATTTATTTATTTTTGGCTAGGACCAGTTGCCAGTGAATGTTACCCTTTGGTAAAGATTATACAAGCAAGAGAAAACCTGATTGATTGGTGAGCTTCAGAGATTTTGTTACCTGGAGCCAGGCTAGCTGTTGCTAACTTAGCTTTGTTACAAGCTAAGTTAGGATACTGGCTTTTGTGTACTTAGTGTATAGAAATGAGAGCAGCACCAATCTTCTCTTGACAAGAAAGCAAACAGGCATATTTCTACTTTCACAAACTCCTTCTTTAGCTTGTCTAATGCATTTGCCTTGAATGTTCTTTGAATGTTGTCACACTATTCAATGGCTTCTATCAGTAGTTATCAGGACCGTTGATGTGGATTATTAGGATCCAACTCAGTCTAGTTGGCACAGTTGACTGTTATCATGTGCCAGACCTTCATCATCATGGTTACAACAATAAACACAAAGTTGATCAACTTTAAGCAGAAAACACAAACAAATACAAACAGCTGTTTCCCATTTTAAAGTCCACTTTGCCAAAGTTGAAGCATAATTACTGTATGGGAGTGATAACAAATGATGATGACCATTTAATGGGGTGATAACATTCGAATCAGCTGTCTAATATAAACTGATGCACTGTTCGTGGGATACAATATCTGGATGTGCATCAGTTTGTGTAGAAATTCTGTACATGTGATGGAATAATTACTTGATGTGCCAGCTCTTTTTCCTTTGTAACGCCCCAGATGATACTGGAGAAGGCATTCAGTCAAGCTTATAAAGAGAGAGGGAAGCAGATGAGTAGTCAGACAGGCGGGCGGACCCAGAGGCAGCTCAGAGGTTCAAAGGTCAAATCACTCACAGCAGGTGGTTGCTTTATGTTCAGCTCCTTAAAACAATATCATGTCTTCTCTGCTTTTTCAATCTGTCCACACCCCACCACCTGCAGGACACCGTACTTCACAACACAAAGTTGTCAGACTGTTTCAAAATTCAAATGCTTGACAATGCTCCAGAAAGCTGGGCGCATTTATATTTCATAAATATAATGAACCAGCTAACAGAAATAAGTGAGCAGACACGTTTGCCATTAATTTGGTGATACCAGTCATATACAGTGAGTATTATATTGCAGTCTATGCACATATGTCCCAGTAAGAATGTGTGTGTGTGTGTGTATTAATGTTTGAGAAGGAGGGGTATATAACTTCAGCAGCAGCTGACACTGTAAAGAATTCCTGAGCCTCCAAACATATGGTAGGAATTGTCTTCATGATGGCATTTTATCACTGATTAAATCCAGAGTTGGCAAACTTAAGAAGAAACCTCAAAGTCTGTTTTATACTGTACAGTATATGCACTGCATTAGTTTTCTAGGTTTAGGGCATGTTACTCTCAGGTTGTCCATGTTCTGACCTTTACTAATCCAACTTTTTATCTTTAGGGAACTGCAGTAACTCAGAGTTTGTCATTAAGTTTTAATGCAGTCATATTATCTCATGTATGTCCTGCCTGATTTTCAAAGCAAATAAATCTTTCGTGTGTAGCTTTATCACTAATCTGACATGACACAAAAGATTTGGGAGTCAGAAAAGTCCTGTCCTACTTTGAATGGGTCTACTAGCATCCATCACTTAGTGTAAATTCTCATAGAGGGCTCTTTAAATAAACCTATGCGAAAAATAATGGAACAGAGGATATGAAAATGGTGAGCGTTCCTTATTGTGCTTACATTCACCTCTTATTCTTTCACTCTGATCCTGATACACTGATTTAGTGCCTATAAGATTATACCTTAAATGGTCACACATTATTTCTACTGCCGCACAGCAGTGTACTCATATGGTTTTCTTTTGAGAAGGATGAAATACTCCAGAATATAAAACAATCACTCTGGATCCTTTGGCTCCCACTCTCTTTTAAGCACTACAATGAATGATTGTGGGGAGTTCAGAAATGTTGGCAGGCTGCCTATCAGTGCAGCTGCGGAATACAGAAGAGGTGGGAGAATGATGAGCGGATTAAACAGGGTCAGAGTTTGGATTTCAGACAGTAATCCATCACAAATTTTACCCGCTTCAGGTTGTGCTGTAATCTGCAGATCACATTTGGGTTACAAGACCCACACTGCTGAATTTAAATGAACATCTGCATCCCTGCATACATACTTGCATTGTCATTCTCAAATGAAATTATATGGAACAAAACAAACAATTGTTATTGAAGTTGCACTACTGAGCACGTGCAGAGATGTCATTTGTTACCTCATTGCCCTGCAAGCAAACACAACATCTGTTTTATTCTTTTAAGCACACACTGATTTTGTTCCTGTTGCGCGCATGCATCTCCCACAGCCTGAGAGATGGACACAAATCCCATTTGCACAGGGGTCAAATGTGATTGTCACCACCACCACCCCCTTACACCCTCTCCTCAAAACAAACACACACATACAGTACACACACACAGAGAGAGAGAGAGAGAGAGAGAGAGAGAGAGAGAGAGAGTCCTCTGCAGGTTTGTGTTTAGACCTCGGTAGTCTCCCCGGGGAACTGATTCGGAATCGGTGCGTCCTCAAGTCTTGCCAAGAGAAGACGCATCCTATTTAAGACAATCACATGATCTCCTGTCCTCACGCGGGGGGGGCATGGATAAATTACAGTGTGTGAGTCTGTGTGCGTGTGTGAGAGAGAGAAAGAGGGGGAGAGAGAGAAACGCTGGATACTGATCGGACTGTCTGAGTGAAAATGACTTGCCCGAGGACTTGAGTCCATGCCATTAGCCGCTTCGGGATATTACTGCGCTAGGACATGAATGGAGAACTGTGGAAGGCTGCATCTGAAAGTCGTTGATGCTTCACTCCCACTGAGCTGTTGCCACCACTGCTGGATTATTTTATTTAAGATCCTAGGATTGGTGTCAAGGGGCTTCAGGTTTTGCATAAAGGTGAGCCACAGACATGACCTGCCTAAGGATTTGTGCAGAGCGGAGAACCTGGACGTTGCTCGTTATCCCTCTCTTCTGTTTTTTCACGCTGAGCAAAGTAAGTCAGCTGCGCCTGTACGCGCCTGCATGCAGACCTCATAAAGTTGTCAACAATTCAAAATGACAGGGCTGTCGAGTTATTTTCCATGAAATCTGCAAGACACACAGACCAAGTAACATTCACATGTTCTTCTTTGCAGAGCGTACTTTTGGAAAATGGTGATGACCGCGCTCAAGTGTCGACTTTACTCCAGTCTCTCAATTTACCTCAACATACAGGTATGTTCAGTGTTTCACAGAATTCTGCCACTGTGATGACAGTTAGTGTGGGAGAATTATTATCAGTGGTCCATGGTCAGAGGTTTACTTTTCGACGTAATAAAATGAAAAGTTGAGCTACTTTTCAAACAAGCAGAAGCTGCACCAGCAGCATCAAACTCACCTGCGCTGTATTTTAATCTCTCCTCACCGCTAGGGGGCGACCTGCACCCTGACACAGAGCAGTAGCTACTGCAGCAGTGCATTTCCGACTGGGGCCTGCAGCAAATATTTAATTTCGCTTATTTAAGGCAACTTTAAAATAACTTGATATCTGGGTAGTAATGTCAATATGTTACATTAATCTACTTGCTGAAAAGCACGCTGAAGGTAAAGGCTCCCTTTTTAGCAAGCTCACATTTTTTATAATGCATTTGGGAGTGACCAGAAAATGATGATGCATTGAAGCCCGATGAAGCTCCCAAGTCAGTTTACTAATTAGTTTAAGCAGTAAGGACGAGATTTCCATCTGTTCTTTGTTTTGTGGATCTAACCCTGGGTGGTGTGTTGAGTCAGCATCTCCTCTGGCTTTATATTCTCGTTCAGATGTTTAGTTTTTTTTTTTTTTTTAGTCACCATGAAAAGCAGATACATAAACAAATAAACACACATCAAAACTCCCTTCAGTGGGCACATATGGAGTTGATCTGAAACAGAAGTGAAGTGAGGGCTTTCCCTCACTTCTGTTTCAGATCATCACACAGCCAATGGTTCAACAGTGCTCTGTATAAATGTGTGTAACTTACTTACAGCTAATGTTAAAGTAGGTGAAGAAAGAGTGCACATGTTCACTTTAAGTCAAGTACTAATGATGCTCAGGAGCCACTAAACCAACAACCTAACCACCACAAGATCTTGTCTCAGTCCATCAAACAAGATATATGTGGGTGTGTTGTGCACATACGTTGTTCCTGCAGGCTCTTTGTTTGCATACCGTCAGACAAGGGTCACTGCAGCTGGCGTTTGAGTTAGGGTGTGTGTGTGGTGTGTGTGTGTGTGTGTGTGTGTGTGTGTGTGTGTGTATTTGGGGGGAGGTGGACAAAGCGAAAAAGACAGAGAAGCCCATTTTCTGGTTTTGCCTAAGTGCTTTGGTGTCTGCATGGGCTTGAGACTTGAACTATGTGTGTGTTCTATGCAGTCCTGTAGCTCTTGAGTAAATTGCACTTGTATTACAAGGACTGGAGGTTTGCTTCTTACTGTGACTACACAAACTAAAATGCATGCAGTCACAGTCATATAAGGTGCTTTTAATACATGCATCTTGCTAATCAGCATATGTGCAGGGCTTTAAAAGCAACCTCAAAATGCACCAAATAGCTAAGTTCAAACCTCAGGCATTCACATTGCCAGCAATTACATACTATCTGTCATCCTGCACGTTTCTCCCACTGCCAAAAACATGCCTGTGTCTGTGCTATATTTACTCATTTTTCAGGCTTGCTAAAGCAGGTCATACTGTACAGTAACTGAGTCTGGCTCTTGCTGTTTTAATGTGCAAGGTTCTGTTATTTCTGTGCACTTTCAGCTGATAAAGTGAATCATTTTCTCTTGGTAAGATTTGTAATGGTCACTGCAGTATTGTAACAAAATCAACAATGGTGCTGTTTTATTTGTTTGATTGGTGGTTACTCACCCACCCAAAGGGTTTCAAGAGCGTAATGTTTCAAGGTATGTAATGGCTTACAGTAGCAGGCACCTTATCTAACACAATCCCATCACAGTAACAGAAGCTGGTGAGAAACAATGTTTCTTTGTACAGTGGTTAGAGAAAGAATAATTCAGGTTTAACACATTTTGTTGCAGCCCATTCTTACTCAGACAGTGGGCACCTGTGGCAGCTACTGTCATGCCTTCCTCTAGAAAACCAATTTTAGTGCAGCTCAAAAAGTCAGCTACTCTTTTGATCTAACCATTGGAAGAAAGCCCAATAGTTTCTGTGGCCAGAGCAGCATTAGGCATTTAGCTGGTCTAAGAGGCCTGTGACCTGCCACCATCTCCATTTATGACCTGCAGTTATCCAATCTCAGCTGTAGCTGTAGTAAAAAGAGCTGTAAAACACAAGGTCAAACATGATTCGCTCACGGCTGAAGGGCCCATGTTTGAACTGTCCAAAATCCTTCCTTTGTAACTCATTCTTGATCCAGCAAGTGTATATGAGGCAGGGCAAGATGGATTTACAAAGGAAAGTAAAAGGCTGTGGATTTTATTGCATTCGTGATACAACCAAGACAGTAGCTAACACAGCATGCAGTGTATCAGAGTAAGTGAAGTTGACACATTAAATTAGAAAGTACTGACCACTAAGACCTTAAATGTTTTTTTTTTCTGCATTTGTAAAATTGTGTTTATTACATCTGGCATCATTGCTTTCTCTCATCATTGCCCTCCACTGTTAGATCCCGTAAAAAACACACATATCAAATGACAAAAATTTGTCTTTAAACTAGATTCTGTTCATCAAAATTGTCACTCATTTTGCTTCTCACTCTCCTGTCATTGCATTTTAATTCTGTTTCACTAGGCATACATTTTGTAAACAACAAAATAATTTTCCATCTTTCTCCTTTCTCTCCTTACTGTGTTGCTCTCCTTTTCTGCCCAGAATATGAGATTATATCTCCATATGAGATCAACTACCAAGGTATTTACATCTCTCACGAAATCGCCCACCACCAGCGCAGAAGGCGTCGTAGAGCCCTTACTCCAGATGCAGGCTCACCAGGCACTAATAGCAGCACTGAAACAGTCCACTTCCGGCTGAGTGGCTTGGGGCAGGACTTCCACATGGAGCTGAGGGCAGTCTCAGAAAGCTTGATTGCACCTGGCTTCACTATCCAGGTCCTGGGAAAGAACGGCACCAAAAGCCTGAGGGCCTACCACCAGGACGACCTCTGCTTTTACCAGGGCTCGTTGAGGTGGAGGGTTAAGTCCTCCGTGGCACTGTCAACATGCATGGGATTGGTGAGTCTGAGCATACACAGAGTCGGGTTGCAGGAGGGTTTGGATGAGAAGTAGGGAGTAGATGAGCTGGCTCTCAGTTGGTGAGTGAGTTTGCAGTGAAAAGGGCTTAAGGGTCTGTTAATTTGAAAGTGTGTATACTGGTCATTTTAATTTTTTGGCATATTTTTTTCTTTTTTTAAAAGTTTTGCCAGCATTTGGATTGACCTGCCATGTGAGTAGTGTAATTACTCTCACTGACCTTGAAGCGATAGTGAATCTGGGAATCATAATGAAGAAATTTGGCTCATCCTTGGACGCCTGATAATATAAACAAAGCATTAATGTTCTTTTCATGCTGAAACCCAGAGGGAGAGAAAGAGAGAGGTCTATGACTGGATTGGATTTCAACTCAAAATTCAGAAAACACTGAATTAGTATAGAGACTGGGTAGAAGTAAATGATTTAAAATATAAATGCATGTACTGTAATTTTGGGTTAGAAGATATTAGACACCAAATGCAAATCAGACTGACCTAAAGGAGAGAGTGAAAGGAGAAACATGGATGAAAGGAGGACAAATTCAAAAGTTGTAAATCTAGGGATTTTTTTTTCTTATAAGACACTCCTTTTATTTGACACAAACACAATCATTAAGCAGCTCTTGCAGTATGCTACTGTGAAGCTGCCTTTCACAGAGCACAGAGAGTCAGTGCATTGTCTGACTGGCCTGGTCAGAAAATTGGCTTACTGTATACTTGACATACAGTAAGTTGAGTCAACACTCACTGGCTAAATTGGCAAGAAAATTCTTCCCTCAGACCAGTGTCGTAGTCAAGTTCCCAGTGTTCAAGTCTGAGTTGAGTCCAAGTCACTAAAGAATAGTCCGAGTCGAGTCAGAGTTGAGTCCCTGTTACTCGAATCAGAGTCATCAAGGTCTATGTTAAACAGCTGACACAGCTCTATAGTTGTTTTTGGCAGCCTGTTTTCATTTTAGTTTTAGTCTAGTCTTTGTGTGAAGCTGTCATTTTAGTTTTTATTAGTTTTAGTCAATTCATACTCTTTTTAGTCTAGTCTAGTTTTAGTCGACGAAAACTGATGACATTTTAGTCTAGTTTTAGTCAATGAAAATTGTATTTTAGTCTCTTTTTAGTAATGCAATTCTATTTAACCCAGGCTATAGAGTATAAGTACCTAGTAGTATAGATGAAACCAAAATTTACTTTTAGCCAAACCCATTTCAAACAAGGTTATCTTATTATATTATTGTTACCTTATAGACTCAAGAATACATCCAATACACATTTTGTGTGATTTTGTGGCCACATTTCTCCCCATCTTTTTCAACAACAAACTTCGTTTTCTTTTCCACTTCTATGTAATTAAAGTTTTTCCAAATCTCGCTTCTTCTTTTCCTCCCAATGACAAACCCCGGCTGGCCGGCCATCGATCCCTTTCTCTGTGTCAGACTTAACTTTGTTTACTGTCGTCTTCTCAATAATGGGGCGAGTGGGGCTTAAGGAAGTGATGTCGCCTGCATCTGCGCAGTGCGACGCGTCTGATGCGGCCCCTGAAGCGAGACACAGAAAACAGAAATACTGCAAAATAATAATAATAACATGACTAAACGAGACAAAATAACGTTATAACAGTTCATCTTGTTTTTTTATCGTCAACAATATTGCATTATACATTTAATTATAGTCATTGTCACATGACCAGCATTTTCGTTGCATCGCGTCTCGTTTTCGTCACGCGATAAAGGTTTGTTGACGACATTTAGTCATAATTTTCGTTGACGAAAGCAACACTACACAGCTGTCACCATTTTATATTCCAAACTTTCCAACAGTGTATTGCAGAGGTCACAGCCATAAAAACTGTCATAATTTATTATTAATCCTTATTGTAATGTTAATTTTTTAATAATAAGACATTTAATAGCATTTTTCATTCATTTTCATTTCATTTTTTTAAATAATGAACACCACAACACCACATGAAGCAGATGACTTTTTTGGCAGTGACAGCAAAGGCCACTAAAAATACTGGACTCAATGTCAAAACAATGTTTGGGTGTTATTTCATCTTCTTATTTAGCACACAGTATAGTGTTTGACTGGCTGTTGTGACCAACATATTGTAGGAGTACAGTTAAATGATTTTTTAAGCTTAAGTGGCATATTTTGAATGGACTTAATGGACATAGGTATGGGTTTTCAGCGCAAGAGTAATAATCTTTGCACTGGCACCTTAAGAACAGTAGCAAGCTAACTGTGTGCAAATTACATAATACAGAAAACTGACTTGAGCTGCATTGTCATAAGGAAGAGTGGGGTTGTAGCATGTGAATTATTGTCAACTCAGTAGAATGCTAACTTGGCAGTGCTAGTAATGTTAATAATAGCATAATATACAACATGCTAAATCTAAAACAGAGCAGATTTAATGGTTTCAAAATGATTAGTTTACACAGCAACAGCAGTACAGGTTGGTTGTACTGTAATATGCTTCGACTAAAATGTGTCTGGTGGTGTTTGGATGTCATTTTGCTTTTCTTTCTGCCTCTTTTCATGTGACATATCCAAGTTGTCCTGGATAAAAGTCACTATTAGAATATGTAGGCTAACATTGCTGACTGGACAAATTATTCTTATTATTACCCTCAGACTTGGCTGAATTTCATTTCTGGCCTTGGAGGACCTCCTGTGCTGCCTGAACATAAAGAAAACATTACTATAGAGAATGACATTAAGTAATCCTAAATGAGACAGCTTCAGCCTAAGATCCCAAGTACCAGGCACTTACCGCTATTAGTCTGGACTAGTCAAAGGACCATGAATACATACTAATCTTCTCAATCTTGAACTCACATACTGTATATATGCATTTATAACTCAACAATCACCAGGGGCAGTGCAGCAACTGAGTAGTAGGCAGAGAAACTCCTGTCATGCTAGTTTGTGCTCATATGTCAGTGCAGATTCACAGGGAACTGAATCTGCCATAGATAACTTGCAACCTTGTGAACATTCAAGCACTGCATCAGTAGGACCTTATCAGAACAATATTTTTTTTTAATAAAAGGTAGCTGAAGTTTGCTCTTGTTTCACAGTTTTATCTAGTGTCATAGTAGGCTATTTGAGATTGGTCTTGGTCTCGAGACCACTTTTTGCAGGTGCTGTCTCGGAATTGACTGCATTTTTACTTGGTCTTGTCTCTGTCGCGGACAAAGCAGAATCAGGATTTTGTTTCAAGACCAGTCAAGGCCACAACTGTCAGTAAAGTGCCTGTACATTGTCTGTTTTATTTGATAACATCAACACTTTGTGGAGTGTCTTAAGCTGAAAGAATGTAAAACAAAAAAAGGCTACATATCAGAATATGTATAAAAACAATGTCAAGAGTTCTATGCTGATATCTTGGTTATGCAAGTACTATAACACTTACTGTAATTTGATTAAAAAAAAACTGCCTTTGCATATTTTGGGGAATTTTTG